GACTGCGTCTATTTGTTAGCAGAATCATGGAATTCTGTTTCCCATGCAACATTAGTTGGCGTAATGTATAGCTATCTTTACTGTCTGTTGAAACTGAGAGCGATGACAGTTAATTTTCGGGTTTTAGGGTCAATGCAGCAAAGGTTGAAGCCAGAGAATTACTTCTGTATTCGGAAGAAAGAATAAATGAGGTTTTGCGAGAAGATATCTTTGAATGGATGATGCGTACAGATAAGCCAACACTGGCATATCAGGAAACTGATAATGAAATTATTGCCTCTGTTTTGAAAAGCCGATTACGATACAATACGAATAGGGAATTTCATAGTGAGAAAATATCTTTTAATGAAGGTTTGAAACGTGATGAAAAATACCTAAACTTTTTAGAACAACAGAGCTGTGTCACAGAGCAAGAGATTATGAGCATATATTATTTACAGGGGGGGAAAGAAAAACTTAACTTTGTAGCATCTTAAAGTTTCAAAACAAACATTTATCAGAAAAATATTTGAAACATATTAAAAAAATTAAATATTTTATGCTTTATTAATGTTCCTTACTTTCTTTATATATACTTAATGTTTGTATATGTTCTTAATGCTCTTATTTATTTTGCGCATTTAGTCTAAATATCATGATTGATCTTTTCTGTCCTGAAATCTGCAAAATCCTAAAATCTGTGCAGCCTCTGGCATTGCGGATATCTGGTCTTCTATGTATTAATATTTCTTTTCAAGTTTTAATAAAAATGATGTATTATATAGTAAATCTTTAATATATATTAACTTTATATTAATTATATATTAAAGGTATAACCGGAAATTAACCGTAAGCATATTTACCGCTGTAAGTTTCCTCTCCTCTAAGACGCACAGCATTTCTTTGAAACTCTTTTTCTAAACCAAAATAGCATAAAGAAAAAAAAAAAAAAGAGAGAAAGAAAAAGAAAAAGAATCATCATTAATTTATATCAGAAAGTGTTCTGAGCATTCCCCAGGTCTTTAAATAACTCTTTAAAATTTAAATAACACTAAAACAAAAAAACCGTGAAAAATATGCAATCCTTATAAACAGAAATAGCATTATCTGCAATTGTGTCATCTTTTGAAAGGAAGGAGTGGCCAACCGGCACTAGAAGTGAAGCACTGCATCGAAGCTTCGGCTCGGGCAAACTCGACGAGTTTTCGCTAATCGGGTCCCCGAGTTATGACGCTATCCCGGCATAATCATTTTCGAATTTCGAATTTCTGTGATTTCGATTTCTTGGTGAAAAATTCAAAAGAAACAGATTTGAGTTCATAACCGTGGTGTCTGGGGAGGAACGATGTATGAGTCCGAGGAAAATACCACAGTAAAGCTTCGGTCACCAGATGTGGAGCTCTTTGTTTACATTCAGAAGCTCGCTTGACAGTCTTCTGATAGTATTTCGACACACGACAGTTCCGTACAAATCGAAAAAGGGACACTTTCACATGAAAGAAACATTCATAGCGTGATGGATAATAGCAATTTGTATATTTATGCAAAAACACTCTTGTTTTTTTCGGTAACTACAACGGATTTTGGATTATGAATTGTTTATAAAATTCTCGCTGTTTAACTATACAAAATATAAATTTTTAAACAAAAATGTTATGCTAAAGAATGAAAATACCTTACGGTACCTTGAAAATGTATACTCTTCGATACCTTGATAGCGTATTCGCCTACTTTTATCTTATGTTCAACTCAAATTTTTAATAAATAATTTTTTTTACCACCCATAGATTGTAGTACCAAAAGAGGCGGACTCGAAAAATCATCAATTTTATATATCTGAAAATAATCCCTTTGGGACACGTTTACTTATTTGAGTAGGCAGAGAAATAAAGATTTGCACAGAAATGAAAATATGAGTATTATGGGTGATGTGCGCAAAAAGCCGTCTCTGCTTAACAAATCATAAATACATGAAAGTATTTGAAATGAAGAATTTATTCTGCACAATGTGAAAATTAACATTAAATGTCTAAATAATGATTATAAAAGATCTAAAAATATAACGAGTAAAATAAATTGAAATCTGTCACAGACGTTATAAAACAAGCGGTTCATATTGGAAGCATCTGTTAAAAGCAAATGCTATGAGATGCGCACTTAGAAAGTAAAAAGAGTTTGGAATATGTATTGCTGAATTTATGTAAAAAAAATCTGATAAGTATATTAAAAAAATTATTTCCTACTTTATATGATAATAACTCAGTTACAAAGTTTTAAATATACTTTTAAAATCCTATTTTATTCCCTTTCAGATGTTCGGAGAAAGTTAAGTACTATTTAAAATATTTCGCTAATTAATAATTCTAATTTAAATGAACTAATAGAGCATTAATATAAATTGACTTATATTTTTCGATTTAAAAGATGCCTCAGAAGCCAAAAAAATCATGTCATATTAAGAGGTATTTTGGTTAGAAAGCTCTATAAATAGAAAGAATAATGAATAATTTTTAATATTAATAATACAAAATTGATCTTAATTTTTGTACCTTAACTGAATAAAATCGAAAAACCTTAAATTTTTTTTCTAATTTAATAACGAAAACGTGTGAAAAATATTTCATTCAATTTAACCATTCTGAGGAAACGTTCTGCGAAGTATAGCATTTAATTCCGTTCAGAATGAAATGTTGTTTAAATATGTTGTTTTATATACTTAGGACTCTGAAGTGTTGTAGAAAAGAAGTTATACAGTATATTTTTACTTACGACGCAATTACAAATATTTCATCCGATCCAGTCAAAACCCATGGCTTAATGGTAAATGACCAAACGTTTTGGTCACCACGTTGGGATCGCCGGTGCTCAGAGCAGGGTATGGGAGAAACCTGTTTAGGGCTACTCCATCTTACTTCCTACCTCCATGTTAAAAAACTGGGGAAGGAAAAAAACAGTAAGCACACTACAAAACTTAAAGGTGATGACAATTAACATCAGTGCACTGCATGTCTGAAAATTCAATAGTAGCTCATACAATTCTTAGAGTACCCAAAATTAGTTTACCTTGCAAACAGTTTGAAATAAATAATATGCATGTAACTTGAAATAATTCTCAAGTAACCTTCACACTATCTAATTTACTAATGTTAATAAATTAGATAGATTTTGCACATTAGCTTCTTATGTATTATTTCTTATGAAACATGAGTTTCAGGGAAACCTCTGGAGAAATAAGCAATAAATATAAATCATTTAATTAATATAGGGAAAAACTGTAAGTGTTGATTTCTTTTTATAATACAGTACAGTTAAATTGACATTGTTAAAATTCAGTTAAACTTCTCCTTGCGCAGATTAATGTTAAAAAGAAAATCTTTTTTAACCTTTTAAAATCTATACTAGCAGATAAAATATATGACATATATTTGTTATCTTAAATGTTTTAGACTTTTTTGATTCTGCATATTTTTACTTATATTAACTGACTAATGCTATTTATGTAAAGTTAATTTCAATTTCGCAGTTTTATTGCTTTTCATAAAAAGGTAGAAAAACCTTTTATGAATTGTTCGTATACCCAGAAATACAGGGTGTTTATAAATGAATGGTGCAGTGATGCATTAATCACAATCTTTCAATATGTGCATTGGCGGTACACGAACTCGGTCTTTAACAAAACCCCAAAGAAAGAAATAGCATGGTGTTAAATCCGGCGAACGGGGTGGCCAGGGAAAAATGTTGTTGCCTGCCTTTGCAGCAAGCCCAATCCAGCGTTGGTGAAGAACATGATTAAGAAACTCTCATGCAATCATGTGAAAACTGGGTGGAGCACTGTCCAGCTGCAAAATATAATCATCATAATTGGTCTTGAGCTAGGGTAACAATCAGGTTTCCAACATGTTCCTAGAAATAAGTTACTGATCACAGTTTCTTGTTCGAAGAAAAATGAGCCATGTACTTTCTCGCGGGGCACTGCACAGAAAATGTGCATGAAACTCCCACTGCACTGAAACCATAGATCTGGTCACCTCAAAATGGAGCACACAGAACAGTTGCCAATGCATGGTACAGTACAGATTAAGGTAATACGATTTATTATTAATTTTTAAAACTGCACCATTCATTTATGAACACCCTGTATATAAAAATTCTCTATATCAATAGAGAAATATTACGATCACTTATTTAATCACAGATGACTTTAAGTAAGCAAAACAATCTCCTCTGCTTTCCTATCATTTCAAAATATTACAAGTTTTTGATAGAACAATTACAATGCTAACCTTACAGTTAAAATAAGGAGATTCTTTATGAAAATACTTCAGTAAGTTAAACAGTTAACACTTTAGAATTTTTAAGAGAAAAAGAATATTCATTACGGATGAAGCAAAAAATATTTTTTCACTCATTGTGGATAATCTCTTTTCAAATATGAATGATACTAATAAAAGAAAAATTCTAACAACAAAATAATTTTTATCAAAACATTTAAAAATCAATTTAATAAAAAATGTATACAAATAAATTCTATCAATATTTTTTTTAATTATCTTCCAACTGTAGTTTTGGATACAGTATAACCACCTCCTCTTTGTTCTACATCTGTGATAATTATTAAGTTCACACAATGTAAAATTATATACAGCTGCATAACATTTATTGAATTTCTTTGCCATATTACTAAATTGAATGTTTACTTGCTAGTTTTCATTATTTTCCTTTTGTTTTAACTTCTGATTTGTAGTTTAAAACAGGAAACTCATGTGCATACCATGATGATAATGTGAAATGTATCACTGCAAATCTGCCTCCCCAATTTTGTGTAAATAAAAATATTTAATGTTAGTTAAATTAAGAGCAATTAGTTAATTATCATAAATTTTAGATTAAATAATAGTATTACTTTTTATAAAATGTGAATTTTCTGTATAACTACTAAACAATATTCATAATACAATAAAAAAATATTTTTATTAAACTTTAACTAAATTTGTTTCTCATCTGTAATACTTTATTTTCAGCATACTTCTCTATTAACCAGAAGTTAATTACCTTCGTAGCACCACATCTCTTTGGCAATTTTATGAAGACCTGAAAAAATACTGCAGAGAAAAACTTATGTAATTATATAGAACTGAATAGTATAGCAAGAACTGCAAAGCAAGAGAAAACAGACGAAGTAGAAAATAAAGTAACTAATTTGCCTTGCTGATCAGGATATTTTTCTTTACAAAATTAAAGTGTTTCAAAACAATATGTAAACATTAAAAATAAAAATATAATACAAAATGTACAGTTTGCCACAATAATATCAAATAATATATAGAGAGAGTTATGCAAAGTCATTAAATATAATTAGTGAATTTACAATATGGTAATTTAATTAATGCCAAGCACGAAACTATGAGATTTATTTGTTACATAAATTTATTTAAGTGTAGCTGTGTCCTCCAGACAAGACAGTCAGAAAGACAGTGTTGTGGCATGGTATGCTGAACTTATAGCTTTATTTTTCTAACTATCACAGATAAAAGTCAGTAGCATGAAACAATATTCCTGAATCTGAAAAAAAAGCAAGCAATGAATTTTGAAAAATTCATATGGGATGTTGTTCATCAATCAATACTATTTTTCTCATTAAACAAAAACTGAGTAATAATATTTTTAATGTAAATGGTCATCCAGAACCCCAAACTCTCAATTGTGTGGTTTTATTTATTTATTTTGTTATAGGGCTATCTTCAGATAATGTGTACAGAGATAATCTAGCATCAATCTTTATCATGAAAAGGTGCTGACATGTATCAGCAATTCCTAGAGAAATGCTGTTTCATCTGACAAACATAACTATATTTAAAAAATCTGCAAGGTAAAGTTCCTTTAAAGTAAATACATCAATAAAACATTTTATGCATTTCTGTTCTAACCGCTTTGCTGCACATACTGAAATGTAATTTTTTAAATTTTTAAACCGAACTGACTTTTGGATCTCTGTATATGGCTATAAAAATATTTTTATATTTTTAAGTATTTTCTATCTGAAACAATATTTATACAATTACATTCAATATTACAAATTATTCTGGAATATAAAAAGCATCAGTCTGAAAAGTTAGTTTTAGACCACAAATCCTCTATGTTTAGTGTAAAAAATATTATTAATTCTCCAGATTATACAATAGATATGATAAAATACAATAATTCAAACTATCTTTAATGCAACTTATAAAAATCTCTCTGGCATCATTAATAACAACAATAACTTTTCAGCCTCTAAATAGGGAAGATCATATAAACTTACACAATCCTCTCCCATTTATAGAAAAAAATTATTTAAATTAATCACATACAAAAGAGATTGAACAAAAACTAGATAAGGGGAGTATCGATCTAATATCAAATAATAATGATATATATCAAACATTTTTTAAATGCCGCATATCAAAAATCCATTTGTGCACATTACAATACAGCACGTTCAGCTTCTAAAATCTAGAACAAAAAAGAAGATATGGGGAGAATTTTTTCACTAAATTTCATATACAGGAATAATTTCATTTGGAAAATACACATAAAGTTTTATCACTTATTAAAGAAGAAAAATTTTATTGTTAGGCATCTCTGCATTAATTAGTCAAGCAAAAAAAAAAATAATTATCTATATCAGCCGAACATAAACTATTTAAAATAAGTACTTACTGAATATACTAAATAAAAGAGAAAACCACATAAATTTAAACTTTGTATTGGAAAAAAATTATATTCTATCAATTTGGTTTATAAATTTAAATAAAAAATAAATAAAATAAAAAAAGCCTCTGTATTTAAGGAACCAAGATCAGTTCTTATTAACTCATACTTTTATTATCATTTTAATAGCATATTTTATGTATAGTATAAATGCTAAAAATATAAACTTCTGCTTTCACACCATAATTTTTTCAATTATTACTTTTTAAAATCTATTTACATATGAACAGTTTCAGAAAATCTAATTTGAGAAGAATGTTAACACCATTCAGCAAATATGTTTCTGCATTCCATTTATTAGAAGCGCAATTTCTCCTTCCCATCTAATAATTAAACTAATATGAAAAACAAAGCAGAAATTTAACTGCATAAGTTTAGATACTGTACTATTAACATGAATTCATATGTAATGAAAACAAACCTCGGATATAGTTGGTCTCTTTTTTTTAGCATTAGTTAAACAATGCTCTGCAATTCTCAGAAGTTCTGCTGCTTTTATAGGATCCCAATATGCTTTCATGTCTAAAACTTCATCTACATCATCACAGTTTTCCATAAATGTGACCTATAAAAAATAGTTAGCTAGTTTCCTCTGATTTGCATAAAACTAATGTAAATATTTTTAGAAAAATTGTATTATGATGAAGAAGATTTCGCTGAAGATATTAGATTTACATATTTGTGTAAACGGACAATTATAAAAAGCATAATAAATACGTAAAACTAGACAGCACATTTAAAAAAAAAAAAAAAAAATGCAATCTTACTAAATCTCTGTCTTCTCTTGATGCATCATATGGGGGTAATCCTGTCAGTAATTCCAGTAAGACAACTCCAAAGCTAAATGTATCTAGTTTAACGGAAACATCTCCATTAAATGCTTCTCTAGCCATGTAAACAGAAGTACCGCAAACATTTTGTGTAACAGCAACAGTTGATGAGATGTTTGCATCTCCTATTCTCACTAAACCAAAATCTGCAACTTTTGGAACAAAATTTGCATCCAAGAGTATGTTTGCACTGAAACAGAGAAGTTTACATTCAATATTTTCATCAATCATTTTCCAATATGTATACATATGTATATATGAATATATATTATCTGGAGAACACTACTTCAGACTGTTTTCATAAATACTTTGTATTACTGAAAATTAGATTCATTTTGATATTAGGCATTTTTGTGTAATTTTCCCATTAAAATCAATATTTGTACATGATTCAACACCTTAAATGATATCTTTGTGCATATTTTTACATTATTAAAACTTAGCTGCCCTGTGTTTTAACAAATTCAGGTTTCACACCATAGAAAAGAATACATTCACTTCCATATGCAATCTTTTTACATAAACAATAATAATAATAAAGCCAATTTAATAATTAATATATTTTCTTTTTCTTAAGTAATAATAAAACTTGTTCATCTTTGAATTCATCTGCCTCTGAAACAAATTTGAGATTCTGCATGCTGCCAAAATAGTAGTCTTCAAGTCATTTACAGACTCACACTGTATTGGTTACATACAACAGTGGAACATGTCCAAATTTTTCAATGGGATTATAATCCTCTATGTCAGACAGCCACTATGAAAAGATAGTATTTTTTCAGTACCACTGCTTATTAGCACTACTCCTATCTATGGCATCTTTGTCTTGCTGATAAATAAGTGGAATTCATTGAAAATATTTTGAAAATGTTATAAGATAGTTATTCAGCAATTCAGTAATATCCATTTATGGATATTTTAATGCCAGCTATGAAATTTCTAACCAAGAATACATAATACACTGTATGAATTTGATTAATCCAATCCTTAATGCGTTTCTAATTTACTATTCTTAATGTAACAAACTATAACATTACAGTTTCATCAATTATATAGTATGTGATGCATATTTCTTAATTAAATGCTATTGATGAGGAGTCAAAAATAAATTTCTTTCCCTTTTTTTTTAAGAAATTGTAAAGGCAGTGGGGTAAACAAGGGATTGGTTTTATAAGAGAATCATCTATCCATCATTTGCTATGATACAACCTAGATCATGCAGATGGTACTAATGCAGTGTTAGCAGAAAGGTTGGATGAATGGTACATTTGATTTCTAGTCAGTATGTTTTGAAATTATGGAAAAAGGAGGAAATAACAGCTGTTGTAATAGTGTGAATGATGGGTGGGATGCCAAATGCTAAAATCCATAACTAGTTCACAGAAGTGTGCAGTTATCGTTTTGAAGCATATGTCATGGAAATGGTACCAGCAATTGACTGAGGAGCAAGATCAATTGTCATACAGCAAAGACCTACTGCATAAGCATCAACAACTACTGTGAAGGAGACACACAGGCATGCGGAACAATGTGAACAGGTGTGTGATAATCAATGACGTCAAAACTACATTTTGAAATTGGTCATGCATGAGCTCATAAAACCTTTTACAACACTCTGCAATATGTGATAGTGACAACTTGATGCAAAAGCATGATAGGCGACAGCACGATAGGTGTCTCACCAACTTAACCTGAATCATATAGGCCAATGAATGCATATAAGCTTGAAGCATCTCTTGTGGTACCTATGAAAATGAATTTCTGTTCTGGACTTTGATGAAAATAAAACAAGGATTAATTATTTTTTGCAAAAGGCTACATTTATGGAGTGGAAATGTCCATCCTCCTTTGTCAGAAAGAAGTTGAATATAACTTCTTTGCAAGATAAGTGTGCTTCAGTTTTTTACAGAATGCTTATGATGTTTTGCTGCTGGATTTTTTAGAGAATAGGACAATCAATTCTGTGCAGTATTGTCAGACACTGAAAAGACCAAAGACTGATATTCACAGGAAGCAATTTGAACTTTTGACATCTAGCATGGTTCTTCCTAGATGACAGTGCAAGACCACAGGCAACATACTGCCACCTTCATTTGGCAATGGCTCGTTCATTCATCCAACAGACATAGTACCTAGCATGTTCCACCTTTTTCTGGCACTGAAGAAGTCTCTTAGAGAAAAGCACTTTGTCACCAACGAAGAAGTGGGGAGAGACATTAAGTAGTTCTTCCATATAAAGGATAAAACATTTTTCATTGGGATGTTATAAACCTTGACATTATGCCAAATGCATAAATGTCCTTGGTGTTTATGTAACAAAATAAAACAAGTCTACTTCTTTATGTTTGCAGCCTATTACTTACCTTGAATAAAAATGCTGCCTATAACAGCACGGGGAAACTTACTTTTTTCGTTTCCCTTCATATATTAAATGTTCTCAAGCAAATGAAAATATTAAAAGTTGTGAAGCATGCATTAAAATATACAAAATGAATTAAAGAAATGAATCATGCATCAATTACGAACTTTACCTTTTGATATCTCTATGAACCAAAGGCTCTTCGGCAAAAGTATGCAGATGATTAATACCTAAGGCAGAGCCATATGCTATGGAAAGACGGATATCTGAAGGTATAGGCGGTGTCTTTTCCTATCATAAAAACACAGTAATAATAATAAACATGCCTTTTTTACAAAATATAGTAATACTTCAGAAAATGCTAAGTGAACATGGTAAAATCTCCAGTAAAATATCTTAATGGCAGCAAATATTACGCTTCTGAAAATATATACAAATTAATATAACTTACTATAACTATTTGCACTTTATGCATAAAATTACTTACCTGCCAAAATAAATGTATTTTCCCTTCTAAAAACAGAACCCACCTGTATTGCACATGTGTTATTTGTTACGGCAGATATAAGAAAACTGTTATCTTTTTTTTTTTTTTTTTCTTTTTTCAAATGGTGAACTCTACCCATTTATAAGCATTGGCCACTAGTACGACCGAAATTGGCCGTCACTTTATTACAGAAGCACCTAATAGGTGGGCCACCATTGCCTTCTATGAAGGAATGGACAAATTGCATCCATGCCTTCTCCAGGATTTGAATCTCTGAGCCCTTCGGTACACCAGTCAAGAGTAACTAGCCATTTTTCCATCTGGGCAGCATGCAAAAAAAATGTACTATCTATCTATAAAGCTATTATCTTACCTTGATTAAAAATTTCAAATTTATAGATAGCAAAAATCAAGTTAAAGAAGCTTAGCAGAACAAGTGATCTCTGTTAAAGCAATTCATTTACCAAAGTTTGTACAAGAGCAAACAATCGTGATAAAATTTGAATTATTCAGTGATATTCTTCTAGCTTTTTTTTTTAAATTAACATAACATAAAATACAAGAAGTATCATTTAAATATTAAAATAAACCTAAGCTTAATATTAAAGTAAAAAGAAAGTTTACTTTTCAAACAAAGCTATTAATAAAGTAAACTACTTTTAAGTAAATCTGTATTATCAGACATTATATAACTTTATCATTCTCATCAGCTACATATTGCTATCTAAAACAATATATCATGGTTTATAAATTCTTATAATACTTATGCATTTTTAACAATAAAATGTGTTTATCATTTAACACAAATGCAAATCATGAAACCAGAAAATTGTATCAAGCAATGAAATTTATGGCATAAATGAGATATTATAGAAATGTCAGTTATATTTTAATGCCTTGGTTTTAATATACTTTATTTAATTATACTTTTCAAGAGAAGCAAGATTCAGAATCAGTTATATATACAGGGTTATCCAAATTAAACTTCCCCAACTCAGAGGGCTGTGCAGATTGTTGTATGGGTCATAATGTGATGAAATTTTAAAAACAGACACTTCAGATCATGTGCTAGATTTATTAACAAAAAAATTAGTACAACAGTTGCCGCGAGGTGGGCTGCAGATCAACAACACATTCTACAGATGTTTATATGTTGTGCCGTAGTCTCCACAACTCTTTCCATTCGCAAAGCGTGTTTCCACCGGAACGAGTAAGTCCACAGTAATTCACGAATGCGAATAATGCATCTTTCAGATGTGCAAGGTGCTGGGTGTTCTCGTAGACCCGATCCTTAAGAATCCCCATAACCAAAAGTCCATAGGTGAGATCAGGCGAGCGGAGGCCAGCTGTAGGGAACAGCGGCTACACACGTGCACGTAAAAGTTGCCCGTAACACCTGTTGAACGCCACGAGAATATCGAGAGGTGCACATCTGCTAATATCGTCCTGGGGCAGCCCGTTGTTGCAGTTCAGGATCACAAACGTTGTCAACAGTCCGGATTCCGATTTCCGGACAGAGCAAGGTTTTGAAACTGTTATAGTCACTCTTCAAAAAAATAAGGCCCAATGATGATGTGCAGTGAAACGCACATACAGTACTTGCAGGTTCAAGGACTTGATGGATTGCGCACGTGTTTTCACTTGCCCAAATGTGGCAGTTGTGCATTTACTTGACATTCAGGTGAAAATGATCCTCATCCATCCAAAGGTGTTCACGACTTCCTTCTGGCAAGGAACTGCGACGAAACTGTTCCCGAACTACAGATCCCTGTCGATAGCTGATTATGATATGGATTTTCTAAGGAAATAACGGGATTCGACGCATCAATGCAACGTCGTATAGGGCATATCACAACAGACGAGAAACAATGGCAACTGAACAACCATGTGCGATTGGCTATGGGTCCACTACGCCAAAGCAACGTCTTTACGCTGCAAGCCACAACCTGTCGTCCTCAACTTGTAAAATCCCAGTTGTCTCGTTTTTCGAATATTTCTCATCAGTCCGTACAGCGCGTGGTTCATTGGTCTCGGCTAGATCTTTCGCTGATGGAATGCTCTTACACAGGATTCTCGGCATTCTGGTAGAATTTTCACAACAGAGCTTTGTTTTCAAGTCGCATTATGCATCGCGAGCTGGAAAACTGCCTGCAAGGCCTGATATCACTTTGTAGGCTCGTATTTTGAACTGACTGACTGACTGATTAATTTACTGTCGAACTACCACACATGTGCAGTTTCTATGGCTCAATCAATTTGCACATAGGCGCATCACAGTCTATCTGCCGTGGTATCCCGAGGGAGCGTAGGAGGTAGAAAAAAAGGGGGACCGAACATCACGCGATCATGGACTCAAGTGGACGGCCTATGTATTGAAGAAAAGAGCACAATGTCTAAAGTACAGAACTACAAATCACAGAAGGTAAAAATATATACAATATTACACTTACAGGATATGACACTACTAATCATACGTATAAATGAGTCATTGCAAGGTGGGCCGCAGTGGTCGAATTTCCAAGTCTTCACTAGATTGATAATTAGTGTTTAAATTAGCAAATGTGCAAGTTAAGAGCTTTCATGAAAATTCCTGTTGAGTTGTGCAATGCTGCTCATTGTACTAAGTTTCAAGTCGCTGTGTACTCGTCTTTGGATACGTGCGCAAGTTTATTTTGCAATCATGTTGTGCAATATGCTATTACTGTGTTACAGCGCCACCTTCGGCACTTTTTACTAAATTTTTTGGTATAAAGCTCGAGCGCATGTCTGATTCTTTTGTAAATCAACTTTATGACCCATACAACAAACACTCTGCACAGGCCTCTGAGTTGGGGGAAGTTTAATTTGGATAACCCTGTATATATATATTTATATGTGTAAGATAAAAATATGAAAGCAAACTTTAAATTTTAGTTGGCTATAACCTCTTTTATTTTTCATATAATTTGGGGACTTCCTCTCTCCATCTTAAAAATAGCGCTACAACTAAACTGCGTCATTCAAATTAATCATGCGATGATCCTACGTAATGCTTAATGCAGATACCTCTTGACCAATCACCAAATTGTCAACTAAAACTTTTTTTAACTCAAATTGAAACTTTTTTGATTCCCTCCATTCTTCCTCTGTGACACTTTCCGCTTCTACTTCTGTGCTGCGTGGATGTTTTGCTTATGTTTGCTTCTATCGCAATAGTATAAAAATAATAAATGTTCTGGAAATAGGCACGATCGGAGTGCCAACTTAATTGTGGCCACAAATGTGAATTTAAATAAAAAAGGAAATTAATCCAGCTCGACTTGTTCCTTTTTAATATGGATCAAGTATCTACGCTGTTATCAAAGTTTTTACAACAGTGCTTTCAAAATTGTACTTTCATTACATATATATATTAATTCAAAATAATGTAATTAAAAGTAAATTAAAAATGACTTGCGCTAAAGCTTCAGAGTAATTCATAAGAATTTATAATAAGAAAACTTTCCACATCTCCAAGGAACACAAATTTAAAACAATCAATGAATATATTTTTTAGAATTTCAATAAGTATTTTAAATAATTTCAACTGTTTGTTTAAAAATCTGCTAAGAAAAATCTTTAATTACAAAAATACCAAAAAAGTTAATTTTAAATATTGAAAAAGTAGCTATTGTCATTGATCGCAAATTAATCCACTTATCAAGGGACTTAAAGTTTAAAACAAACAGTTAATTAGAAATTTAAAGATCAAACTAGTAAGTTAAAATAGGCTTTTTAGTTTACTTATAATTACTTTAATTTGAATTGATGTTTTAACTAATAGCAGCTTTTAGCACTATTTTAGTAACAGCCTACTCTCTACGTATTATCTCCAAGAAAGAATTCCAATTTTCTCGCCAATTTAGGCTAAACTTTCTTAAGTAGAAAACTTCACTTTACAAGAAACCTTTTACTTTCATCACTTAGTACTTGAACTTCCAGCCGTTTGGGTTTCAAATTTTGAAGGCAAGTTTGTTAATTTAACTTTGATCTTTACTTAATTTATTTATTTGATCTTTACATTTTTATTAACTGTTTGTTTTAAACTTTGATTTTCAGATTGTATCATTTTTTATCTTCTTATGATTTAGAATGAATTTTTAATGTTTTAATATGTTTACTTCTATTTTTGAATTTGAAAATGACAGTGTAGGGGATATGTTTTCTAAAGTAAGCATCTCGTTCAGATTAATTGTGTTCTTATTGAGAAACTTTAATTTTAAGATTATTTGCTATTTTGTTTTACAAGATTCTTTTGGCTTAAAGGGACTGATGTCTTTATTTGGATTGAGTACATATTTATGTGACTTATGGTTTGAATTTAGCAAACAATTTTATGCTTACTTGGAAGTAAGATGAAACACTCTCTTAATTTACTTATTGTTAATTGATGGTGGATTGGTTTATTGTCTTGGTAAGTCGATTAATCTGTGATCAATGACAATAGCTACTTTTCCAATACTTAAAATTTACTTTTGGTTTTGGTATTTTTGCGATTAAAGATCTTCCTTAGCAGATTTTTAAAGAAATAGTTGAAATTATTTAATTTAAATCTAAAATATTTTTTATTGAGGTTTTAAATTTGTGTACTGGATATGGTACATGGAAAGCTTTCTATTATAAATTATTATTAATTATTATGTATCATTGAAAGGAGGAATCTTGAAGAAGCATGTGAATTTGTAGGCTAACCTGAAAATGCAAAATAAAGATTAGCCTACACACTGAGACTAATTTATTTAAATTTGCTTTAAAAAATAATTCTACTAATAGTAGATACAAAATTTCTTAGTCATTAATACTCAATTATTTTGATTCAGTATGGGTTGCACAAAAAATATTATACTTCTACACTGCTATTATCTTGCAATGAACCATTTGGCATGTATTCGTAAACAAGACAACATCTAGGACCATTATTCGAGAATCCTAAAAGAGGCACTAAATTTTCATGGTGACATCTAAAAGAAAAAATTATAAACAAAACCATATATGTATGATAAATAATTAGTGAAATGAACTATAAAAAAATGAAACTGTAGTATTTCCTAACAACTATATTAAAATATAATCATCAAAACAGATATTATATATAGGAAACTAAGATTATAATGAAATTTGGATTTGACTAAACAATAAGTCACAAATTTTTAAACATTTTAATACATTTTTTAAGCTAAAATACAGTACTATAACTGAAATTGGTCAGTGTTAGGCTGTCATATGAGACGTTACAGATTTTTTTTTTTTTTTTTTTTTTTTTTTTATGTTTCATTTTGTACTCTTTGGCATTAAATTTATTTCATTCCCTATATTGTTAATGAATAACAAATATCACAGTACATGCTTTTTGTTTAAAAAATAAAAGTAGCATCTTTAATATAAATATAAATTAGGCAAAAAAGCAAGGTCGCTTTTTTGCCTAATTTTCAATAATATCAATTTTGTAGGCAATTTATTCCTAAAAAAACGGTCATCATTTGAAATACGACCATACAATCACAAAGGGACATAAATCCTATCTCAAATAAATAATTTCAAAAAGATTATTTAGAGTAAAAATTTACAATAAATAAATAAATATATAAATTTTTATTTTCTTAAACCTTTAATAATTTTAAACTGCTTAATGAAAACAAAAGAAGAAAAGAAACACAGAAAAGAATTCTTATGAAAATAAAGTATTAAATTTGCCTTTTACCTAACTAAAATCTTTAGTTCCGTGAAAAACTGCTTATCAACATCTCCTTTTAGTTTCTTCACAGCAACTCTTCGACCAGATACATTTGCTATATAAACACACCCAAATGATCCTTCACCAATTTTACACCCACCTTTTCCTATGTTTAAATTGCAGAAATCTTGTGTAGCTCTTGATAATACACTATATGAAAATACAGTAAGTTCACTAATATCAATGCCTTGAAGTGTTTTAACTGTAGTGTCCACCTCAGCTACAAGTGTATTACTAGACTGCGACTTATATTTTAAAATTGTATCAATATCTTCAGATGCACTTTCAGCTTTCCTTGTGTCATCTGGCACTAGAAATATGTTAACAATGAATTAATAGAAAAATAACATAATTTATTTTAATACATTAACTTTTGAGCACTAGGTGTTTCAGATGCTAATGTTCCACTGCTTCAGATAGTGAAATGATGAATTTATTTAGCATTTCTTAATTTTACAATGGATGATGATTTATTTACTTTACAACTTATTTTCATAACAAGTACATTACATGAATAATTACTACAATTTAAGAAGCAAACTACTAACTTTAATCTGGAAATAGTTCTTTTTATTCCTCGTTTCAATTTGGCCACTTCTGTTTGGCCTATCCTAAAACTACTAACTGTTTATAATATGTATATGAATCTAATGTGTGTCATCTCAAAATTAATACACAACATGCCATTTTATATAACATTAAACAATGGGAAATATCTTTTATCCAATCACAATTTTAACAAAGTACCAATTCTACATATCTCAACTACTGTTGAATGTATACTCACTTTCCTACCTTGCTCACACCTTACTAACACATGTCACTTGCCTCTCTGCTTCATCCACTCTCTACAGTGTAAATTGCAAAGAATGTTATGAAGATTGGGTGCATATTGCACTCACGATAATGTGTGAACCTGATTATGCATCTCAAAGCTTGTTTTATCAAGATATAAAATTGTTTTCAGCAATATCTGCCTGTATATGTCACCTTTGTAAGTATGCAGAAAAGCCTTTGCCAAGTTGTTACTATGCCATCATTTCCAATCCATTGCAGCTGTCACCCAATCATCAAGGTATTTACAAATTATAGTACATATATGCATACAATGAGAAAATGAATCTCAAGTCCTCAATGCGATGCATGCGCAAAAAGTTTGTGGCTTTGAGGTCCGGATTATAGATCATTCTGGATTATGGGTGTCCGAATTAACGACTTTTGATTGTAATAATAAGTCTGCCAAAAATAATAAGCCGGATCTAATTAGAAGATTAAGGAACAATGCAATCTGCAACATTAACTGAAATAGATAATTAGATAATTTTAGCCTAGCTTATACCATCCGTCATACATTAAATGCGCATGCGTAAACGTATTATGTGCATGCACAGAAAGTTTGTTGCTTTGAGGTCTGGATTATAGATCATTCCAGATTATAGACATCTGGATTAAAGACTTTATACTGTATTTCATTCAATGCATATGTCGACATATGTATAAAATTACAGCAGTGAGAACTGTATAAGATGCATTTTAATATGGCTCATTTGAAAACTCATAAAAATCCAATTACAGTACTATTCCGTTTTGAGGACCATAAAAGAATTGCAACAAAAATGTATGCACAAAAGTGCCAAATCTAGCAAATGCACCCATTTAACAGCGCGCCAAATCTAGCGTACGTGCTGATTTAAAATTGTGTAAGTTTAAGATAGTTCTATATTTCTTAAGACGCCATTGAAATACTAGTTTAATTTTTAAATCTTTTTTTGATAATGCCGTGGATTTAACAATTTGGGAATTGCCTAGTGACGAAAAGTCTGCAATAGAATTTTTTAAAAGAAAAGGCATCATTCATTATAGAAAATTATGTTTGAACAACCAACGAGATAAAATAATGCTTTAGCGATAACTTGGTAGTGAAATAGCGATGCAGGAATCCACTCAGTTATGTTCAGCCTTTTTTTATATAAATTATTATAATGATGTGAAATAGTTATTTACCGTTGCTTCCATTCAGTTATGTTTATCCTTTTTTATATAAATTATAATAATAAAAAAGTGTTATATGAAATTAACCTTTTATCTAAATTAAAACAGAATTAATCTTAGATAGTTATTTACTATTATACTTCCTTTCTTGCATTCGGGTTGCCGCAATTATTTTTAGCAGCACTGGCATCAACAATAGGTTGGCGATTTTTTACGGTCCTCAAAACAGAGTACCCAAATTACCTACTTTTAGCATTTTAATGATACCTATATATTAGATTCAAAGTATTAAACACCAAATATTGCAATCATTTTCAGCCACAAATTTAATGAAAATGTATATAAATTTCAAGGCCCTTGCAGATAAAAAACAGAAATTCATTAGATTTAAACGACACTGAATTGCAAATATTTTGAGAGATACATTATCTTTGTTAAATCTTGTGTTGTGCGCTGGGTTCAGTGCAAGCAAATGAAATGCATGCATCAGGTATAATTAAATCAAAGATAAAAATGAGCTTAACATACGAAAATTAAATACTGTATTTACATTTTAATAATTGAGTTTGCACATAATAGGCTGCTCTCAGAAGTTGTGCTTCTTGTAAAACCATTAATAGATCATTAAGATCTGGCTGTTCTTTACCAGTAATACTCCAGTCATCGAGTAGAGCTTCAGCTGGATTTCTACCAGCTTTCCACTGAGATTCTAAAAAGCTTCATAAAATACAAAAAATTTACATTAGCTTCTAACATGCATTAATTTCTAATAGACTGTCGATTAAACTACAATAAAAAATATCCATAATGTGCATGGTGGGAATTTTGATTCTTACTTATATTATGCTCTAAAAATAAATTATAATTGAATATATATACAATTTTTAAAATATAGAACAGAGCAAATTTTAATTAAAGTCTTCAGTGATGGCTATTAAATACTATCACTGCTGAAACTTCTTCATCAATCTCTAATTTCCAAAATGAGGTTTCATAAATTAAAATTAATTCATTTTAGTATGAATTACATTCAATTCTGTTGTGATTTCAGGCTGTGTTAACTCAGAAGTTAAGCATATTAGTTCCGCAACCATCCATTTGGCTCTAAAAAAATGCTAAAATCTTCAAAAATGCCCTAAAAATATATTTTCTTGATCATAATTCCAAAATATCCTAGCCAATTCATTTTTAGAGCCTTTCATTTGGACACATTTGAAAATGCCCATACAATTAACATTTAAAAAATGTTATTAAAAATATTCTTGGACATTAACCCTTCAATTTGCCAGCCAGTATACATTGGCTAGCCAGTTGAAGTGTTAACAGCTCAGAAAATACATATCTGCAATGTTCTGAATGACACAATCCTTCTGAACGACATAATCAGTCTTATTTTTACCAGCTGCACATTAAAAAATCAAATAAGAAGAAATCAAGACAAGAATTTTTTTTCTATCTGAAGTTTTCTCACCTGTGAATTTAAGAGCCAAATCATGGATAAAATTTAAGTAACATATTCTAATTTAAAACCATCAAACATAGTGAAACAAATATATTAAGTTAATTATAACATGTAAAATTAATCACTATTATGTAGAATACTTAAAAAATTAGATAATTTAGGCAATACATTTTCAGCTAAAATATTATTATTATATTCTTTTACAATACTGTATCTTTTACTTTCTTAGGTACCACTCTTATATGCGTCCTCAGGTTGCCAAATGCAGCAATATGTGTTGTGCGCTGGTATTTGGCTCAATTGAGTGTTCTGCGATGTTGGTTTCTATGGCAACTTTTATGGGGAAACTTGGATTTGCTAGTTGGTTCGTGTGGTGTGTGGTAATTAAGTGATTTATGACGTGTTAGCAAAATTTTAGTCGCATGCCTGGTGCAACTATTTTTTCGGGTGGCTGGAAATTCTACAAGTATTTAGAAAACAAAGGTTTTAAACATTTATTTGTGAAAGATGGTATCAATTTCGTGGATAGTGAGTCTGGCTGTCATATAAATATGATAGATATTACGTGGCAGATGTTAAAGCTGCGCTGCCTACTTATAATCGGAAATGCGATTTTTTTTTTATTTGGTGGTTTATATATTTTTCCATTGTTCTGAAACGCGAGAAGATGCTCTTAACAAATTTGCGGTGAAATTGTTTTGGTGATGTTCGAAATTGGTATTTCTTCTGTTCGAATAAGCATTCATTCATGGTAAGTGCATTTTATTTTATTCTTGCTCTTATTTCGTAGAATGTAATGTTCATTGTTTTTTTAAGTACGAATACCTATTGTTATTGCTGTATTTTTTTAACTGTTTGAAATTTATTTTAGTTATTTTATTGATTAGTGCTCAATGCCTGGATTGTGCACTTCATAGATGTTTTTTTAAGTTTAAACAGAACGCTGTGTACATGGTATTCTTTGAAATTTATTGTTATATTAATTTACTTCAGCTAGGTGTGCGTAGTTCCATGAATTGTGAAATTCTGTGATGATTTCTTAAGTTAAAACATATTGCTGTGTGCATGAATTCTTGTCAAATATTTTTGGTTAGAAACTTTACGTTTTTGCTATCTAAATTTTTTGTTTTTGTTTCGGATTTTCAGATTAAATTATATGTTTAAAAAGTTAGGTTTTTGGAGACATTTTAGGCTTAAAGTTTGAAATGTAGATAGTTTGTTTCTCCCTCATTTGAGCGCCAGAAGACGAAGCAATAGCATCTATGCTTACTTCTCCAGAATACGAACCTACTAACTCTATGATTTGTACGTACGCAAGGCTCATGCATTGCTTATCTTTACCATTACCTTAAAGCGACATTCACTGGATTCTTCACGAGGAAAATTATTTCCTCAGTTATGAACCCCGCCATGATAAGCCATGAAAAGATATGCTTATTTGCATGTGTTCTACACAGGATGTGACTTTCCCAGCATAGGAGCCTGCTGAAGTGCCCAGCACCTGAGCCTTCGAAATGTAGACAAAAAATTTAGATAGTAATATAACACCGTGGAGTTTCTCGCCAAGTATTTTTGGCGAGAAATTTGTCGCCAAGTGAGGGCGTATATAAGAGTAGTTCCCTTTCTTATTTTCAGTAAATTATACTGCTGTTGTTATGATATGGGTTTTGTTACTAAAATTTACTTTGTTCACTTTTCCAAAATAATCTAGTTTCATCACAGCATGTAAAGAGTGGAAAATGTCAAGTGTTAAAAATGTACCTAATGTTTAATTTTTAATGAGAAGTAAATACCATTATTGAATAAAATGAATAACTTTATAATAAAATGAGTGTTGGACATGAAAATCAAATAAACCTTAAATGTCATATATATAACCTTAATATGTCATTCTATAATGATCAGATAGGTCTAGTTCCAAGCACTTTAAAAAGCATTAGAAATTATAAATATTTTTTTCTTGCATCTTACCTAATATCATGAACTTTGTAGAGGTACTCATCTGGATTATCCGGATTTCGTATAATACCAGCTAAATCCCGCCAGCTATCGTTTATACTTAATATTCCAACAAGTTGCCGTCGTTCTCTCATACCTAAATTTCTAAGTTTGGTAGAAGGTAACAGCCTTTTTAAAGAAACATTGGAAGAGCCAGACATCCTGCTAACTGACGTAGACATCTTTATAATGTTTAACGAAAAACCGCTAAAACAAAGATAACAAAAATCTGGTACAACCATTCAAAGCATAAGTAAATATTATAGTAATACACGTTTACGAGTATGGTTCAGAGTTGCTACATAATACAGCAATGACAGATAAAAACGGAATTCGTTGTTGACAGGTTATCTTCACGAGAAAAAAGGGGAAAAAAATGGGAGGAGTTACGAGATTCTCTGGGTTGCATGAAGATCTACTAATAACTTTCTCGCCAAGTAATTTGGCGTCATTGGCTCATTCTTATTTCTGGAACTGTGGTTGAAGAGTGGTATGTTTTTGATCCGTAAGTATGCTAAAATTCTACCATAAATTTTTAATACCTTGTTTTCCAAATTTACACATTTTGCTTGATTAATTTGAAGTTGTTTGTTTTTAGATGTGCGCAATGGCAAATTTCAGGTTATTCGTCAAATAACCAAAGGTTTCTATTTCTCTGGTAAGTGTTTGCTTTATATCTTATATTTATTATTAAATATGAAAAGTAATTTTTGCATGCGTATATTTTTTCATGCTCATTTTCTGTTTTATGTGCTGGTAGATTTCTGGCCGATTACCGTGTTTTTAGATAAATGCGCCATTTTCATTTAGGTCGTGTAGAGATTACTGTTTCCATTTTTTTTAAGTAACCACGAAAATTCTAACACATGTAAAAGCTTTACTAGTAAACTTTTGATTGAGGATATTTCAAGTAAATGTGCCATTTTTACTGAATTTGTGTAGAAGTTGCTCTTCGTTATGCCTTTTTTGAGCCAATATGTTAATTAGTTGTATTATTTTAATGTGTTGTTTTGCAGATTAATGCAGTTTATTTGACAGATGTGTAATGCTGTTTGTTGAAAAATGCATTAGAACCAATGATGGTAAGATCTTGGCCTAGCAAATTGGTAAAATATTACCTGCTCTTAATTACTGAATCATATTGTAGGATAAAATCTGCTGTTTATGTATGAAAATTTGTACTTTATCTCTGATTATGTGGTATATGCCCAGAATTTCATTATTAATGATCGATTCATTAAAATTATTTTTAATTGTCTACTTTGTTTTGTGTTGCTGCTGCTCATTCTGCATTTTTTTTTTTTTTTTTTTTGGGGGAGTAGATATAAAAATTAATTCTTGTTTTTTCTTTTTTTTCCCTCCATGTCTCTTTTTATTGTGCTAGTAAATTTCTGACTGAACTCATTTCAAGTTGAATGCGGTATTTTCTTTAGCTCATGTAGAGATTCATCAAGTTTTTGCTGGTAAATTTTTGAGAAAATTTCAAGTAAATGTGCCGTTTTTACTTAGTTTGCATAAAAATTGTTCTTCTTTATGCCTCTTTTGAATAAATATGTCAATTCTTGTTTGTATTATTTAATATGTTGTTTTGCATATTAACACAGTTTATTTAACAGATTGAGATGCGATTTGTTGAGAATATTCATTAAAACTAATGCGGGTAAGTTCTTGGCCTAACAGATTGGTAAAAGATTTTCTGATCTTAATTACTGAATTTTTTATTATATTCTAGGATAAAAGTCTGCTTTTTACGTGTGAAAATTTTTATTTTATCTGATTATGTGCCAAATTTGAATGATTCAAGAAAAATGCCATTTCTGTGTGTAGCTAGTTCGTTGTTGCTGTTCGTCATGCAGTTCTTTTGAATATGTATCAGTTTGAAAATTTATTCATTACATGTGTATTTTTCTCATCCATTTTTGCTGTGCACTTTTCCTGTGAATATTATTTTTATTTAGTCTATATAGAATTTCCTCTTTGTACCTTTTTTTGAATAAGTATGATAATTAGTTCTTGTTTGTGTTATTTTAATGCCCAACAATTCACTTTCGAATGTTTGTTAATTATAGAAGCTAATTTTACTTTCTGCTTGCAGTTTTTAACTCTGTACCTTTTATCCAGACATAATAACATCTGCCTTTTCATTTCTAAACTTAAAATATCGCAGTCGGGAAAAGGTTTCAATTTGAAAGGTAGTGGCTTTTCTAATTGCAAGAATTTCTCTTCAGAATTATAATTAACATAAGCTGTGCATTCTCTGCTGAGTATTTCATTTCTCGAAAAGTCTAGTAGACCTTTTAAATCGCAATTTTAATCTTTAATTTTTTGGATATAATTAAGAACGAATTCATTTTGAAGCAATTTAAAAAGTAAAGGCATTAAAATATAAGTCAGTATATTTTTAATGTTGCCGTGCAGCGTAAAAAGCATCTCTACTTTCTCCCAGAAGTCTTGCTATTTTTCAGATTTCAAGGTTGACTTCTGTGCCTTGTTTTGCAGGTTAACATGCTTTATTTGATTGCATAGAAGTTAACTTTTCGTAAAAAGGCCTTAATTATAGTATCATTATTGGTAAATTCAAGGCTTAAACAGATTGGTGAAATGTTTGACCTTAACTACTGAATTCTGCTAATTATATGGGATATGTCCATAATTTAAATTTTCTCCTAGTAAATCGATCAATTGGAACAAAATGTGAAATGAATTTATTAAAGAGTATGTCATTTGCTGTATTCATAAATTTCCAGCCATGCATATCATTTAATAATTATTTGTTTTTAGGATAAAAAAAAGTAGTAGCAGATGGTCCTACCAATTTGAATAAATATGGAATTTAGTTTTTAATAGTTTTATTTATTTCATGTAATTTATGATATTAAAGTATAAAGGCTATGCTCGTGGATTTTCTAGTAAAGGCAAGTTTCCAATCAATAGCAGTTTTTAGTGGTTGAGCTATGTATCCAGCATTTTTTTAGTATGAAGACTAATCATACTAAAAAAATTTGAGCATTTTTTTCAAGTAAAAATCAGTGTGTTATAGCTGTGCCAGTATCATTCTGCATAATGACAAAAGTTCATTAAATATGTTAGTGACATTTAAGTGTTGGTTTTGATTATCATGCAATACTGAAACTAAATTCAGAATTTCATTATTGACAAAAAAAAAAATTAATTCTGGGTATGAATGTCTGAGCATGTGTGTAAATTTTAAGTCATAAGAAACGAAATTAATTTGTTAAATTCGTTTCTTTCATTTGATTAATTCGTTAAACTTGCTGTTATCTGTGAAAAATTTTCCTATTGAACTTTACCTTTCATTTTAGTGGCACAGGTGATAATAGATTTTTAACCCCCCAAAAATGAAAATTTCCAAGTGTGGCTATAGAGAGTATGCTCAAGTTCATAAAATAACTTAGTTTTTCTTTATCATCACCTTTCTGTTCGAGAAGCTTTTCTGCAGCATACATTGACCACCCCTTTTCTATTATAAGAATACAGTCAGAAGTCTTTAATCTGGACGTCCATAATCCGGAATGATCTATAATCTGGACCTCAAAGCTACAAACTTTCTGCGCATGCTCGTTTAATGTATAACGGACGGTATAAGCTAAGCTAAAATTATCTAATTCAGTTAATGTTGCAGATTGCGTTGTTCCTTAATCTTCTAATTGGATCCGGCTTATTATTTTTGCGGACTGTTAGAGCAATTTTATAAAAGTAAGCTTGAACTTTAGATTATGTCAAAAAGAATTTCTGATTCTGAAGCTGCCAAAGGATCTACAAAGCGAAAGCATGTTTTGATGTCCATCAAACAAAAAGGTGGAATTGCTGCAAAAAATGTATAAAGGCATATCCTTTATTTCTCTAACCTTTCCAAAATCTGTTTAGCAATTTTACACTGCTCTGCGGGGGGGAGGAACATCACAGCGCGCCATGAACTGGAAGTTGATCTGTCAGCACTATCCTTATATTCAGGGCAGATGTTTTTATTTTATTCGGCTTATAATTCCTTGCTAAATGTAGTATTTCATCTCAATGTACTCCGTTTTTGATATGATTTAAATCAAATTTCTCGTCATTATATTACGGATACACATCAAATAGTTTTCTGATTGCAATTTTCTAATTTCGACTATGCGTAATGTATTCTTTACGCATGCATGCGTTGAAAGAAATGTTTAATAAAGTAAACAAATAAATATTAAGTTTTTTTTTGTATATTTTGATATCCTTTAGATCATAATTGCTCTTTATTTCATAAATTATGTTTTCAAATTTTTAATTTTATGTTTTCTGCATGCCATCTTACCAGATTTAAATTGATGATCTGTAATCCGGAAGTCCCAACGAGTCCGGATTAAAGACTTTTGAGTGTAGTAATTTTAGAAATTTATCTGCATGTCTCCTGTGGACTTTCATTTAATAGATAACTAAAGCCAGTATGGAAATTAGGACATTTTTTATATTGAAGAATAATTCATTGCTGCCTACTCTCCTTTTTTAAATTTTTAGTCTTAACAAAGGAAAATGTTTCTCAGAAATAAATGGAATGTATTTAATTAAACTTAAATTAGGCAAATTCCATTCCCTCAATCTCTAATGATTTTCAAAATTTTTAAATTCTATTTCATTTGAATTGTACTTTTTCTTGTTACATTTTTTGATTAAATTTCATTTGGTCAGAGTTGTCTTAATCTGTAGTCATTTCTAAATTTTTATATAAAAGATTTAAAAAATGGAATTAGCCAAAGAATATAAGAATTAAATGTTAATATATTTTACAACAGAATTGAATTTCAAATAGTTCAATAATCTAGTCCATGTAAATTTGAACTGAATTTTAATTTGATTTTTCTATTAATTCATTACATTTATTTAGGCGCCTAGAATGTGAACATGGTAAATAAAATGGCAAGTACCCATTCCTCAGTATATTTTGGTGGGGAAAAAACTTCTGAAATTTATGTTCAGTTTGTAGTAATATTATTCAGTTAACTTCATATTTGTTTAGGAATTTCACAGGGTGGGTGATCTTCTGTGCAAGATACTGAGAAAATTTTGATATTCTTTATGCTAAGAATAATTTCAAGAATTAATAAATTTCAGTTTTTTTATATGATAGATAGACTGATTATTCAAAGTAATATACACCAAGGTCACCTTGGATGATCAAGAGCTTGTATCATACATGCATATTAACTGTTATAGGATAGCTATGGACTTTGGTCCTTCAAATTGTTTTATTAATATATATACAGTATTCAAAGAACTACAAAAGGGTGGAATGTAGTGAATAAAACATTTTTGCTTCTGATAGAAGTGTACAACTGACTGAAAAATGTAACA